CTGTAAGCCTAAAGATGTCAATAAACTGCATCGTATGTAGTGAGAGAAAATCAAAACTTAGTAACGTGCCTTCCGTGTTGATTAGAAGACCAAAAAGTATACAAAAAATATCTAAATTAGATACATGGTGATGAAAAGCATGGTAATGCTCTACTTTTTTTTTGAATTTTTGAGATATCCTTCGATTTAAAAATATAGCAATTCATATCATTTGTGGCACGATTAAATGCACTCAACCAGAGTGACAATTCCCCAGTTTATAAAAATCGAAACTTTATTATTAGTTACCTATTTCGTTAACAAATCACTAAAGAACTAATGAATAAGTTACAGTTAGTAAATTTTTTATCTTTTGTAACTTTAAAAAGTATAAAAAAAAGTTTGGTGAACATCAGAAAGATGTACTAAAAGAAAGCAACCCTTAGAAAATTACTGTTAGCTTCAAATCACAAATTACTGAACAAAAAAAGCCCAAGAAATTTTTAAAATCAAATTTTCTATCTGACTGACCTGAATAGATAGCACAGATATACCATACTTACATGATCGTGGTATGCTTCCAAAAGCTGCTGTCTGTCCCCCGAGTCATATACCACATAGTACCTTAAAAAAAGAAACAGTGATGAAATTAAACACCCATGAACATGTTAACACACAGCTAAACAAGAAGTCTTATCACCAAGCTAAGAATCTTTGTTAATTAGTCATACTATATGCTGTCAAAAGTAGACTTAAACCATGTGGAACATAAAATGAAATGACTCTTAGCCTTTAAGCCACAGTGAACAGGACTGGAGAGAACCCTATTGTTAGTAACGAGTTTATATAACACTATTCTCTGTGAAAAAGAGAGTTTGAATTGTTGCTTAAACTCAGGTTTCAGATTAATGTTAATTAATCTCACATTACATTTAACCCTATCTCCCCGAGTACCCTTTACGGCACAAGGTTTTAGTGTTTTACATTCAAAATTTTATTAAACTACTTTTTGTTTATGTCATACAAATTAGAATAGCATAAAATCTTAGCTAACAATCCATATTTTAATAGTATACAAGTTTTAAGTTCTTAATTCTAAAAGGAAATATATAAAACAATCCTGAATTTCTACTAGGGTAACACACGTGACACATTTTGTCTTAGCGTGTCATCATCCCTATTTTATCCATCACCCCTCAAAAATGTACAAAATTAAATGTAAAATACTCTCTATAAAATCGTTATTGCTCAAACATGTCATAGTTTTTATAGCCTTCAATTTTGTTTGGTTACAGAGCTATCAAATAGAAAATCGGACCCCTCCTGCCACACCCACTCGTCACATCCTCTCTTACGTAATTGGTTGATAGTTCTCTCTTACGTTTCATTATACATTACCTATAACCAATAGAAAATCAAGGTTTTCATCTATCAAATGACATATTGTATAACGTTGTGTTCTGAACAGATAACCGTCAATTTCCCTCTGAGTAGCAACATCACTCCTGTGGCTCTGATGAATTTCTAATGGCTCTTGTCGCATAGTTAGAAAGCCAGAAAAATGTTCAGAAGTAAGTGAATTTGTCTAATTTTTGCATGTTATTAGTGTATATTCTTTGGTGTATTATTTAATTGAATAAAAATTGTTAAGTGCTTTACTATAATCACTAAAAAAAATCATGTTTAACTCTCCTCGACAATCGAGGGCAAGAAAAAAGAAGATTGGGTAAGTATTTTATTTCTTGTTTTTCACATTTATTCTTTATTTATTATTATAAAAGTAACAAAAATTAAAAGTACGGATCTTTTTAAGTTATTTAAGACTAGAATAGGTAAAATAAGTACTAATAATAATATAATTAAAATGGTTCACGAAGCACACATGCGAGCAGCTCGTGGGTAATGTAATTTGATAGCGCAACATGAGCTGCACGTTCCCCGAGTGATTTACAACTTATAATGGTGCAGACAGCAGTTAGACACGGTTCAAAAAGCAATAAAACTATAAAATTTAATTATAAATAGATGTATAATGTTACGAACTTAGAGCTACTTAGGTTAAACGAATGTAGTTTCATGTTACAATTTAAAGTCATACTAAAAAGAAAAGGTTAATTTAGGTTTATTTCGATTTTTCTTTTGGTGGTTACGAGGTCGGGCGAATTGACCAATTCCGTTTTGAGATTAGAGTAGAGAAAATAACATATAAACTATAAGGATTTAGTGAAAAAAAAAACGTTTAAAATACATTTAGGAGGTTTTAGGGATTGCGCAAAGGAAATTTGAGATTTTTGAGATGGTGAAAAGTATTTTTAATCTTAACATGAAAAATACTTTGCACATGGACTATTCAAAACAAATACTCAATATATTCATGGACAAAACATTATTTTATTTTATTAAAAGTACTTCACTAAGAAATATGACTTTTTGTATGTGAAAGACTTGTAATATTAACTGAAAGACTGCCATATTTCGTGAAGATATACTCAATATATAGAGAGTTATAAGTATTAAATTTATGTCAATTTTAAACGAGTACAGAAGGTCACGTGACTCAGTCCCAGGGACCGAGCCCGTGTCGAAATACTTAATCAATCATTCTCACATGAGACTTGGATAGTTTAATAATCAAAAACTGTAATATTTGGAAACACTAATTTTGATTACTTCACTATTTTTGTGTCATGACACTAACCAATTAAATTATTGTCCAAATTATTAAGTCTGTAGACTTACTGTTCAAGAAACTGGATTATGAGCAGCTTCACATCATCAGAGGGGAAGTAACTTCCCTGTAAAAAATTAGCACAAATAATAAGCTTTAAGTATATAACCATCAAAGCATATTCATAAGATACATCTATAATTCTTTAAATTTTTCATAATACTGTATCAACATCTAGATGTTGCTGCACATATGAAATTAATCTCCATACTTATTTTAATGGTCAAAATATTAAATTTTTTTACAAATCCAGAATTTGGCATTGATAATAAAAACTACTAGATGAATTACATTTTCAATAACACACAAACATATATATCTAAGGCAAAAATATATTATCGAAAATAATGTTTACTGCACATCGAACCTATATAAAAGCCAGTGTGTGTGACACGAACATATATATCCAAGTGACACGAACATATATATATTATTATCGAAAATAATGTTTACTGCACATCGAACCTATATAAAAGCCAGTGTGTGTCACATCACGCTTGATTTTTCAAAATAGGAGTCATAGAAGCCAAAATGCATCTATCCAGATAGAATAGTTCAATTACTGTCTCCCCATTACGATTTTAGTTACAGGGGCACAAGGGTGCCATGAGGGAGGGTGTGTGCTGTGAAACCTTATAAGTGTAGTGAGTGTTGGGATTATAAGCCTAAAGTAAATACATTGTGTGAGATCACCTAGTCTAGAGCCAAATGCATAAAATTTATCATGAAAGTAAAAATATCGATTCGATTTTAAACTTAAATCGTTTCTGAATTAAACTATTTTCTGTTATATCACCAACGTTTTTATTAATCAACAAACCTCTTTGATCAATGGAGACACTAAATTAAGAAATCAACAAATATTTGTCCAGTTTTGTTGTCTATACATTTCATTTTATACTTTCAGCACATGGACTAACAACAATATTACGTTATACTTTTGTTGATAAGCGACATCACATGAAAGCCATTATTGGAACGTAGTGTTACCAAAACACACTGACTTTTCTATGTATTAGATGTGTTAATCTGATGTTTACCAATAATTATTCCATGAATATGCCACAAATTCATTTCATGAATGATCTTAATTTTGATTTTGATTGGGGGGGGGGGTACTTGCCCAGTCATTTTTATGGGCTATAAACTTGTGTAAAATATAAACTACCACAATGTGACGTTAAAACACTCAGATACAGTAGGTTTTCAATCATACAGGAGTGCATATCCAGTGCTAATAACAGAAAAACTGTAAAAATTTTAAAAACATCTTTTATCACACACATGTTTCATAAATGTTGGTTATCCACCTACAAATAATTATTTGAACAAAAGAAATATTAAGCATGTTTTATGTAACAAATTTCTTTATAACACACTTTAGAAAAATCTGAGATACCTTAGAGCAGTGACTCTGAACGTGGGGCTTACGCCCCACAGGGGGGGAAATTTCAATATACTGGAGAGCAATTTGAAAATGCTACTATAAGAAAAAATTTTCATTTGGGTGTGAAGATCGAAAAACGTTCCGTGACTCAAAACTAAATTTCTAAATTTTACATTATATTATTATACCTTTTCAACATCAAATTTGCTTTTATATTAAGAGGGCATCAAATTTTTTGAGGTATCAAGGTGGGGCATAGAGCAAAAAAGATTAAGAACCACTGCCTTAGAGTGAGCTGTAAAAACAAGAACTCAAAGAATGTTCACATTCTAGTTATATAACAAGTGTATCTGATACTTTTATACCATTTAGTTATAAGTTTACTGAAAAACTTTTGTCAGAAGATATCTAAGGTTTATTCATGTCATATAAATTACTTGTCCCCCAGTACACTAGCAGTATGTTTACAGACTTACAATACCCAAAACCCCAGGGTTCAAGTCGCCGCAGTGGACAAAGCACAGATAGTCTATCGCGTGGCTTTGCATTAAAAACTATGAAATTTACTTAGGAAATTTTAAGATAGGTTTCTAATGAGTTTACGCCCACAGAGTTAGCTTATCTTTCATATTTTACTGTATCGGATTAAATCATACAATGTAACCTTTATAAAAATATATTCGTTCGTCAACCTTTGCAGAACTTTTCATTTTTGCATTTGGTCTTTTTAAAGACAAAGACTGAAAATCAATTGTTGTCTTTATTTGATAAAAACATGGATTAGAAGATATTTTTTTGTATACATTTCTTATAAACTTATACTTCAGTTAGCTTTAAAGTATTGAACTTTCTTTCAACAAATTTCTATACAGTCTCTCCACACACACACTACAAATTGCTACACCTTTTTTTTTTTAAAAAGTGAATTGTCAATTACTCAACATTTAAATATAAAAAATATATTTTCTCCAAAAAATTATAAATAAACAACTATAACTATAAAAAGTACAAGTTTATGTAAGGATTACTTACGTGAGCTTTAGGAAGTTCTACCGTCTGATCAAGGTCAAATGTTATTGGAGGTGGAAGGTCTTTCCCATCCTTACAAAAAAGAAGTTTAAATATAAATGTACCAAACATATCAGGGCTATGCTTCTTCACCAGCTTATCTTTACAAATACTTTAGTTACACCTCTACACACACACTCTCTCTCTCTCTCTCTCCAGCACTATACATTTTATAGCTACCCTGTTGGAGAAATACAAACTTGTATGACATTCACTGAAATAAAGTCATTTGCGTATATTAGTTATCACCCCAAAATAACCCAAATATTTATTGGAAAGCTCAATACGATCGCCTTTTGTTTCAAATATAAGACTTTGACATTCAGTGAACCATGTCAAATCTTTTATTAAGAGGATTTTAGCCTAGATCTACAAAAAACTAATCAAACATAGTAGTTTATGATGAATTATCTCCACTAGTTACACACATTACTCAAACTAACTTTAAGTGTAAAAAAACATAAATAATTTCACAAATTAAAGCTACAATGTTAACTCTTTCGACACAGGCTCGGTCCCTGGGACCGAACTCAAAACCATTTTGTGCTTGTTATAGCTTTCATACCATAACTTTTAATATTTTAAGTATCTTTACAAAATTTTGTAGACTTATAGTAAACATTAGAAGCCTTTTGCACACAAAAAATCAGATTTTTTAATGAAGTATTTTTACTTATATTTGTCCGTGAAAATATTGATTCTTTTTTTTTAACTAGTCTGAGTGCAAAGTCATTTTTCATTTTAAGATTTAAAATACTTTTCTTTGTTTCAAAAATCTCGAATTTCATTTGCACAACCTCTGAAACCTCCTAAATACATATATACCTTTTTTTTCAATAAAACGTTATATTTTACCTGTTATTACATTTATTATTTGATTCTTCAGCCTGTAGACAACTCATTGAAGTAGAATGAAAAGAAAAATTGTAAAATCAGAATTATAATGAGCAACTCTTTCCTTTTTCTTCATTATTGATCATGAAGTTTCAAAGTTCTTCCCCTGCTAAACATATCCCATATATTTTCTGTGTTTATTTTACTGTCACCAACAAATTACAAACCTGCTGACAAAAAAGCAATAATTCACCGCTTGTGTTAGTTTACGTACAACTAATACGAAACTCTCTGGTACAAAAATGCACGCGTATTCAGTGAGGTGACATTCCCCTTGCTCCGAGAACACAATATGGGATATAGCAGTTTATAGTTCCTACAACACTTTCAACATGAATTTCCCAGGGTAATAAAATTGCAATTAGAATGAGTAAAAACATTTATTATAAGGTTCAGAGTTGGGCTGATCCAATAAACATTGTAGATTCTGAGCCGGGCTTATTCAATTACATAGCAGGTGTTTCGGTACTATGGTCGCCCATTTGACGTGTGTGGAATTTTGCAGCATAAGTATATGAACGTAGTATTTAGGCACATTCTTATAAAGGATACTACTCTCTCTCACTTTCACCACACTTAGAAAGTAAATGAGAAATACACTGACAAACAAAAGATTTTGAGTACGTAACCATGTTGCGCTCGTGCATCGAACTTGCTAAGCCTTGACGTAAGCCTCGTTTATTCTTCTGGGTGGAGGGGGTAGAGATACTAATTTTTTTAGGCTTCAAATATGAATTTTTGAAGACCAAAAAGTTATCAAATTACTGTACTAGTACACTCAAAATCCTTGTAATTTAGTCGGGTCTCTAAATAAACTGTATGTGGGTTAAAAAAGTATCCCATTACTGTTCAGAGCTACGACTAAATCATCACACTTCAATGGTTTTGGTAAAATTACTATTTTGTCCATCAGAGTTACGTAGGGGTGAATATGTTCTTTCTATTGGTTATAAACAGTAGCTAATTAGTAGTAGGTGGGACTAGATAAGAGGTTTCAAAAGATTGGTGCAGTGGGAGGAGCCGCTCTAGTAGACTCACTAAAAATATTGCTATCTCAGCAAAGCATAGAGGAGGAAGGTTCTTATTTTATATTTAGGTTGTCTATATTTCAAATTCGAGTTTTTAATTCATTAGGTACTTATGCATGTTGTATGATGGGCATAATAAAATGGCAACTTAACAATAAAACAACTAGACGTGTTATGTGACACACAAAATTGATATTTAACATTTTTTTCTTTACATTTCTTTTTTAAATTAAGAAATTAAAACATATATAATATCAAATTTTAAATTATAAACTACATTTTGATGCCAATTTCATTAATGTAAGTAGTAGAAATACTATTTAATAAAATTTTGAAAATAACGCTCCAAAACATCATGACACGCGCACTTTAACCTACTCGGAGTGAAAGGGTTAATGTCAAAATATAACAGCTAAAGAGAGAGAATACAATTCAACAGCATCTGCACACATTCAATTAACCCTATGGACATGGGCCCGTATATTTTACATGACTTTGATACCACGATGGAGGTATACAAACTATAACTCTGTTAACATATCATTACCAAATTAAGCAAGCTTTTAATAAACATTACAATTCCTTTAAACTGAAATATTCAAAGGAAGTGTTTTTATTAAAGATTTATCTGTAAATATATGAAGTCAAAGTGTTGACTTGTTCCAGTGTTTTTATGTCAGCTTTACTTTTTTGTTTAAATCTCCATAAAAGAAAAAGTTTTCTTGCTACGAATTGACAATTTGGTTCGGGAGTATGTACAGTATAATTGAGAAATTCCATAAAAAGTTACAAGACCAAATATGGTTAGCAGAAAATGTAGAAATAAAGAAGTGTCATGCAATACAGCCTATGAAGCTTGATAATTTACTTACATGTATCCTTTTCAAATTAAGAAATTAAAACTTGCATAATATAATCAAATTTGATTATAAACCGTGTTTTACTGTCATGTTTATTAGTATACATTGATAATAAAGTATGTTAATTAAATTTTGAATATAATTCTGTAAAGAGTCATGACATGTGTACTTTGACCTACCTGTAATGATAGTATTAGCTTAAATCTCACTAAAATCAGTAAAAACATCACTAGTGTTATACAAACAGAACCCAAAAAAATAAAAGTTGAGACTCGTACTACAGAGTGAAAAACGTAAACTGTAACTCTAGCAATAAAACTGTACAGACACGCATACAAAAACCATCTTCAAACAACTAGTCAAAAATTAGACATATAAAGGACATATAAAATAAAACTACAATACAAACTGTCAAAAATTACACACACACACACACACATAAATAACAGAC